TGGGCAACTTGAGCGTGGATGTAATTTACACCAATGAAATTTGGGAAGAAAAAAAAGATTGAGAACAAAAACTAAAGTGCACAGCAAATAAGACAATGAAAAGCAAGGAAGAAATTTTTTTTTTCCCAGCAGGCCAAATTTAACTCATGACATACCATCAAAATATCTAGTATCCTTGTTGTGTTGTGAAGCACTTAAAACAGATTTAGAGAGTATTTAAGCTGTGCTTATCAAAGTTTTGTAATTGATCTTCAAGCTTATAACTACCCAAGTCCAATCACTGACCCAGTAAATCTTTAAGCTTAAATCACGTACTTTTCAAAAGTTTAAGTTTAAATTGCTAATAGTAGTAGACTTATATTGTTATATAGGTTTTGACAATCACATTCAAATCAGATATGAAATGTTAAGTATTACAAAATTGACCTCAAATCCCTCTAAAGTTAAACTGGTTTAAAAAAATTCATATTACCTGCCTCTTACTGAGAGAAAGAAGATGATAATGAATAACTCTATTATATAGAGTTATCTTATCAAATTTTGAGTGATAAAATAATTTAAGTTTTTGATTGCATTTGCTTGCACCACCCCCTGCTGCTACTCCTTTTAATACCTTTCAATTCTGTCATAGCAAGGCTAGTTGCAAAACCAACTCTCAAATCCTGTGAGGAAAAGTGGGGCTATCTTTCCTAGTATTACTGCATGGCCTGGACCCTAATTGGGACAAACAGTGGGTCTTAGCCCAATTGCTTACACTTCCTCTTCATATCAGCAAGCTTCTTTTTCTTTTCATTGTAGTCACAGTTACTAACATAATAATAATAATATTATTATTATTTTAATAATTTAAATGGTATAATAACGACAGAACTCATGTTTTACTTTGATATAAAATGTCTTTATTCAATATTAATAAACTCAAAATGAATTTGGATAAAACCTTACAAAAAGGTCATATAATTTATCCTATATTTTATTCGCAATAAAGCAAAAGATTAGAATTTTAACCAGGCTCTATGTCAGGGAAGTGGTACTCCAAGACTCTCAGTTGTAATCAGCTTAGTTATTTGTGTCATTTTCTGTGTCATTTTCTATCTTTGCTTTTTCAAGCTTGTAACCCGGAGTGGGAAACGAAAGGGCTGCACCATTACTTCCTAGCTATGGAATGGAGGACAGGCTAAAATCTGACAATATTGTAACACAAGGACAAACCTGAATCAATGTCAAATTTGGAAAAGTGAGGAAAACTAACAAGGAAAAGGCATCTCTCAAACAATCAACCAATATTGTTTCCCACAGCCTCTACCTCGATAACAAATGGCACTCAGTTATGGCAATTCTTGATGGGAGGAGGCTGTTCTTTCTGATTTTCCAATACATGGCAATTCTAGAATGGATTGATTGCGAGGAGCCCAGAAAAACTTGTGTGATTTCAACACTTCATCAACCCTTACAATCCTGAGTATTGCTTTAGCTTAATGGGGAGGCAAGGCAAGGCAGCTTAGAAACTAGAAACAGACGATCTGTCAATTGTCATTCATTATGATCAAGCCCATTAACCCACCGTGGCATCAGTCTAACCAGCCCAAAAACCAGTGTCTTTTCCTGTCTATCTCTTGTGTCTTTACCAGCTGTCTTTCTTTTTGTTTGTGCCCGATTCCATTTTCTTTTATATATTTATGAGGATTTGTATGCGTTTGCCCAGTCTGTCTCAGTTACAAACACAATTGCAAAACTAGCTAAATGGCAATTGAAAGTAGTGGAGTGTGTTTTTTTTTTTTTTTTATTTCATAAAGCAAAGTGCAGCTTTTGCCTCACATAAATTGCAAGGAGATTGGACTGGTGATGGAGACATATGCACCTTCCTGGTGTGAGTGCTTAGTGCTTAGTAGGAAGGGGCTTACTTTCCCTTCCCTTTCTTTTTCACATCTTTCCACACTTACACACAAAAAGTATTGAGAAAAATGCAATAGCACCTATCCCCCCTTGCTTGCCATTTTGTGACCTTCACTCCCCTATTTGGCAGTATTCCCACAACCCCCCCCCCCTTGCTACCTTTTTTCCCATCACTCTCTTTCCTTTGCTTTGCCTTTCGAAATCATCATTCTCTCTTTCTTTGCCTTTTGGTTTTTTCTTTTGCCAAATAAAGGTAAATGTTCACATCATTATCTTGAAGAAGTGCATATGCCATTTTACCCCTTATGAAAGAAAGAAGCTGCTACCCACCACTTGAAATGATATGAATTACAATGTTTTTTTGTAATGCATTTGAAAAATCTGGCTCCCTGTATCTTCATGCTTCACATTGTACATGCACAAAATCTCCCAGTACATATTTCTTCTGTTTAACAACCAACAAGGTATTGGTTATTGGAAAAAAAAAAAAACTTTCATGCGGTCTGAAAAATCAAATTATAAATTATATCGATAATTTAAATAAATCTCAGGATCATTATATTTTCTTAAAAGAATTAAAATTAATGATAATTCTAATTACCATGAACTTTAAATACAATTTGCTATGGAATGTAATAAGCAAGACAACAAAAAGGACAAAATGAAAATAGGATGACATTCTCTAGAATATAGCTCAAAAAGGGATTAACCCAAAAAAGAAAAAAATTGCGTCCATGTGCATGGCTTGAGGATTAAAAAGTCACATTTGCTATAACTTTAAAGGGATACTTCGGGATTATGGGGTTTTTTCTTGGTGAAATGCATGCATCACTATTAAATTGAGATATGTTTGACAGTGATCATGTTTGTTAACAACTTAAAATGGGGCATCAAGCAGGTCATTTTCAGAGGTTTTTTGCTTTTTTTTTTTTGAGGGGGGAAGGGGGGGCACACTACCAAAAGTGGTCCTTAACCTTAATTTGGTTAAAAGGAATTTGGAAAGAAAACAACAATTTCAATAAAAACCCCAATTTTTCAAAAAGCTGGAGAATGGAAGGCAGCTTGGAGGATTCTGTGTTCTTATCCCTGGGAATGGTCTGGCTGCAGCCACTGGGCTGCTGCAGAATGGACAGGCTGTTGCAGAGAAGGGAATGGACGGATGGACGGCTGGCTTTTTGTTGGCATTCCTGCAAGAAATGGTTATTATTGTTGTAAAGAAGAAAAAAAAAGAAGGTTGTCAGCTGAGCGCAGCAGGTTCACTCACTGCCCACAGTGCCCACTTCCCCCCACACTTGCTTTTCCCACTAGGACACGTGTTAGCTCACCAAGATGTACAAGTGGCAAGCAGGGGTCTTGTCATATCCCAACATGATATCTTACCAGAAATTTCAATTGATAGAGGAGAAACATATGGCTTTCAATTCTTCTGCCAGTGACCTTTCGTCGGTCATCTTTTTGCCCCCAATTACCAGCTAGAAAATAAGAGTAGGAACAGCCTGTATCTTCATTTTCAGTGTCTGTTTCTCTGTGGTTAAATAGTAAAACAGTGAAAAATAAAAATAACTTTTTAACTTTTAACCCAATCCAGAAGACCCTTTCATTAAGGGAATGCTCCCTAGCACAGGGACATGACCATGTGTGACAAATTGTGAGGTTTTCTTTAGCCTTCCATGTGAATTTACTGTGACAGTTTTAATACTGAAATAATAAAGTGTTTGATAATTTACTTATTTAACTATTCATAAAAATCAAATGTTCCTAAAGTTATTATATTTATTATATCTATATTAATTTTTTACCAACAATTGAACAGTTAAAACTTAAATAAAATAACTTTTACTCAATGTAAAATTGATCATGTGATGCCCTCTTTGTTCATCCTTGTTGTCTCACAAATCCCCAACTGAAATTTTTTAATACATTTGATAATTAAATTTAAAAAATTAGTCCATCGAAGAATTTCAAAGAATTTTTTAAGTTAATTTTATTTAAGGAAATTTTTTTTCTTTTAACCATTTACTTTTTTTCCTTTTTAACTATTATCAGCACAAAATACTTATAAATTTACAAAAAAAAATCCCCTAAAAAATCCACTTAATATTTAATTTTCATTAACATACCAAATAATTTTTATATTATAAGTTCAATATTAAATTTATTTCATTATAGAAATTTTCTTTCGATTTATCGAACAAACCCACCGTAATGTTTAATCCAAGAAATTTGTTTGATTTTTCTTTTAATTGTCACTTTTGGAAGAAGTTGGTTTGATAGTTAATCTCATCTAGAGTGACATGAAGAACTTTGTCTCATTATCATTTTTTCTTTCTTTCAAAATTAAGACCATTCCCATAAGGTGGATATTTGTTGTGGAATCTTGACACCCCATACACCCCAAAGGGTCAAGTGTTCCCAATGTCCAAATTTATACAATGTCCCAAAATTCTTTTAATTAATATTTAATCATGAATATAATTATATATACATATTGTACTGATTCATATATATGTATACATATATAAATGTACTCGTAAAAAGATAGAGAATAACAAGCGGTAAGTAGGCACTAAAAGCAGAAATGCTTAACATGCTGTAACTTTTGATCAATGGATGAGTTTAAAGAAAGCAGAAACCAACCAGACACATCAAAATCAAAACAAAGCAAAGAACACAAATCAGATTAGACAGGGACCTAATTTTTACCTTAATCAAAACAAAGCAAACGACAATAAAAAAAACATTAGGAATTGATGATCCTCCCTGTGTCTCTGTGTGTGTAGATTGTTTTGTCCCTGGAAGAGAAAGGGTCAAGAATGGAATTTCAGATGGAAAAACACCCACCCCCCTCAAAAGCTACAAAAGACCTGGACGTGCTTTTGAGACAGAAATACTAGTAGCAGTAGTGATAGTGGAAATCATGTTGACTCACAGTGTATCTGCTTCGACCTCACCACACAAGCCTGAAAAACAGAAAAAGCAATAATCAAAATAAAGCCTTTTGCTTTTCTTTTTCTGGTCTTGCTTTCTCTGTTTCCTCTCTTTCGTTCAGCATTTCTTTCTTATTTTCTCTGTGGTAAGCCAAAGAAAATCTCAATGACCCCTTCTTTTTTGCTGGTTTTTGTTTTCTTCGAGGGTCTTTTGGCTGTTGGTGTTTTTTGTTTGGTTTCCGAGAAAACTGTAGGAAAAGGAGAGAAAGATGGGAATCTTGCGACATCCCAAATTGTTCTGCTACAGTTTTTAACAGGGACTAAACATACCCATGTGAATTCTTTTTGTCTGTTAATCTCTGAAAATGAGTAGTTTTCTTTTCTTTTTTTTTTCATGTTTTTGTTTTATTGGGTGGATTAAGCTTTTGGTAAACAAAAGAGTGAGCTTTTTTCCTTACCAAATCTGTTTTCTTGGGATTTGAAATGTGCAAGTATTTGGAGGTTTTTTGATTCTATAAGCTTTGGGTGGACTTCTACTTGAGCAAAGATTCATGTAGTTATTATATTTCTTTATATAGTTTGTTTTATGGGATGGGAAAACTCAGGAATATGAGAGAAGCAGTAATAATAGGAACTTGTTCATTTTATTTTGCCTTCTTATTTTTCCCTTGTTCTTTGAGAAACACAAAAATGAAACATCAGCCCTTTTGGGCAACTCAAAACATCAGCTTTACTCAGTTAAATTCTTGTGAAGAAGTTTATTGAGTTATATTTTTTGGTTCTCTAACCAATGAACAAGACAAGCATTCAGTTTTGATTTATTTTCTTCTTATTCATTTTCCCTGCAACCAAACATAGCTTTGATTCTATCTCTCTCTCTCTCTCTCTCTCTGTGTGTGTCTCTCCTATTAGACCTCTTATTAAATGCTTATGCGGGATGTCTTTAGCTTTCCTTTTTGTAATGTAATGTTAAAATTGGAATAAAATACTAATAATCAATGGTCTGTATCTTTATCACTCTGTTCTTTACTTCTTTTATTATTAGCTCATTTTTTTCATGTGTGTCTACAGATAAGCAATTATTATGTTCTTCAAGTTTCCAATTTATCTGCTCTTTGAATTGATTAGCCTAATGATTATTTTTTTTTTCATTTTATGAATTATGTGTAGGCATTTATATTATTCATACTGATGGAGTCTTGGAGCTATGGCTCTGAAGGCAAAGGCCTTCTTTTTACTGATGAAATGGATTTGCCTGTGGATGCTTTTGCTAGAAGTAGAAAAGCACTCATAGGATGGGACCTCAAGCCTTCTACTGATTTTGAAGCTGTTGAGAGTATGGAATTCATGGATTTTGGTTTTGCTGATATGAACAAAAAACCCTTTTATGGTAACACCAGTATGGGAATCTTTGGTGCTGAGTTTGGTAATGGTTGTGCTAAAAGGGTAGTTTCTCCTACTTGTATGGTTACCTCTAGCTCATATTATGGTGAAGAGGAATCTGGTTCCAAGCATTCAAGCTCTTTGATGGAGTCTAACAGTCAGGAATCTTCACTCATTGATTTGAAGCTAGGGAGATTGACTGACCGTAGAGATGGACAGGATGGCAAGTTTTTGAAGGAAACTTCTGTTGTTTCTTCAGTTCGTCCGGCTTTTATGGCGAAGAAAGCTCGCACAACAAGCTCTTATTCTCATGCTCCTTGCTGTCAAGTTTATGGTTGTAACAAGGATCTTAGCTCCTCAAAAGATTACCACAAGAGGCACAAAGTTTGTGAGGCTCACTCTAAGACTGCCAAAGTTATTGTTAATGGAATTGAACAGAGATTCTGTCAGCAGTGTAGCAGGTTGGTTTTTTTTTTTTTTACACTCTTTTTCCCTTCAATTTGATATGCTTGTAAGTGAAATTTAATTGTTATCTAAGCTATTTTTAATTTAAGATCATATTGTTATTATATTTATAATGAGCCCATGCCCATGTACTAGCCTATTTGTTCCATTTAAGCTTACTATCCTAATTATCATAGTACTTAGTTTTGCAGTTTCATGGTCCATATTTGGACATTATTGCTTGGTATTAATTGTGCTTCCTATTGCTTCATCAGGTTTCATGCACTGGCTGAATTTGATGATGGTAAGCGTAGTTGTCGTAAACGCCTAGCAGGGCATAATGAGCGCAGAAGGAAGCTTCATTTCAATACCCTTTCTGGAAAACCACATAAATTGCTGCAGTCATATCAAGGTATGAACAATCTCTTACCGTTGTATCTCCTAAGGAAATTACGTTACTCTTCTTTATACAATTGAAATTCAGATATAAACTCAACCTGTCGTGAAAGGCAGAAGAAAAAGGAAAAACTTTTTGGTTATGTGATTTGAGCCACTTAAGACAGTTTGGTGCTAATGTCCTTGTCTTTATTCTCGTTTGCATTGGTACAGATAGTAACTTATTTTCTTCAAGTAAACAAGGTCAGGGCTAAAATTGATGCAAACCTTGCGAATTTTTTATTTCTCATGCAATAAGAAGTTGAAGGATTTGTTTTCCTGTAAGGCTATGATACATTACTTTTTGTACAGAAGTGATTTTCTTGTGACAAAAGAAAATTTAGATAAGAATGAGTTAACTTTTTGATATGTGTCTTTTATGCTAGGATGATAAAGTTAGACCTGATGTTTTTGAGTTCAGATTTTCTGTTTCCTTTGGGTCTCTCTCTTTGTAACTGCTACTCAATGAATCTGCTTTCTAGTGTGTTAATTTCAGGCCTTTATATAATAGAAATGTATATCAAAGCTGAATTGGTGCATTTAAAGAAACAATGTGCATGTTAGATGTGATTCAAGCATTTAAGGTTTGTTGATTTGATTGATAAACATAAAATTTTAGAGGTTATACTGTTTATGTGTATAACATCATGTATTTTTATTTATAAATGAAGTTGTAAAATAAAATTTTGGTGCTATCATTTGATCAAAAGATAATGTTTTCGTCAATCCCCACTATAAATGTGCAACTTATCTTAATGTTTAAGGATTTCCTAATTGCATATTGCACTAAATGAAAAGGTGGAATGGCCCAGTCATCCACTCCTAAGATTTATTATAATAATCGTTTTCCAACAATCTTACAACATTCCAAATATTTTGAAAAAGCTTCACATAGAAGCCATTCCATATTTTACCAATATGGTTGACATTTATAGGAACTTTTGCATGTTCAGTTACATGAAGTTGTAATCCTTCACAATCCCCTAAAACATAGTACATCCATGCCAAAGAGGAGGAAAAAAAGTTTCCAGAGAAAAGCATCCTAATTTTATTTTCTAACTTGTACTGGTTGCTTTTAAGTTTTAAGAATTTGAAAAGTTAATGCCATACCTAATCAGGAATTTTTTAAACTAAAAAAGTACTCATTGTCTTCAGAAACCCTCAATTGGAAGTATCCATGTGGAAGCAGTTTTTCAAGCCTGATATTAATGGAATATAAAATGCTAAAAAATAAAAGAAGCATATTAATCTTATCTAAAGTTTTAATGAGTTCAGACATGCTTTTCAAATTCGATTAATCAGTTTGATTTGCAAGTTAAAAGAGAAGTTGAAGCAACCCTATGGTCTTAGCTTGCTATGCTTCCTAATTTGCTATAGAATTTCATTTTGCCAAATTTTAATATATTGTTCATCTATGTGGGCTCTCAGGTACCAAATTTCTGGGGACCTCCATACCAAAAAGAATGCCCTTTGTTATCCCAAACATATTTCAAGGTGACTTTGTTTATCCAGAAAGATATGAGCAAGCTAATCAGAGTCAGCAGGTTAAATCTGAAGAGAAACCAATTTACAATCCTCAGTCAGCAACACCGATCACAAATTGCCAGTTGCGACCAAAATCTATCTTTCACATGCAAGGCAGTGGGAAACAGTATGTTCCTGGAACTTTTTCATCATCAACTGAAGGCTTCAATGCTCCTAACGCAGCATCAACTGTGAAAGTATCATCTGGACTTTCACGCTCAGATTGTGCTCTCTCTCTTCTGTCAGCTCAATCACAGGACTTGTCAAACCATGCAGCAGGAATTCAAATGACTAGGCCCTTGATTAATCACGCTGGCCATGCCTATCATAGCTTTGAGAAATCTGCTGGGATGAGTTCTTTGGAAAAAGCGAATGGCTTTTATTCATGTGGAATGAAGCCTATGGGAGCTGGCCAAGTAGGGGTTGCTGTGGTTTCTGATGCTGGTCATAATGCTAATTTTGCAGTCCAAGGAGATGGATATTTTCAAGATTCAGATCTTTTGAGTGCAAGGTATTTTCTTTCTCCTGAAAATGGAACCACTGTAGATTTGCTTCAACTTTCAACACATCTCCAAAGAGTGGAGCGACATAGGAATTCTATGCACGTAAAGCTGGAAAATGAGGACCTGTGTTATTTCCTTACCACTTAGTTGGTATGAGAGCAACAAGGTATGTGCAAAAATCGTTTCTGATTTTCATCTTTTGTGTTTTATTTTTAGTTATCCTTGAAAGTAGGAAACTCTCTTAGCTTAAATATCTTTGTATAAAAGGGCTGGTGGATTGTTACGGAGCCCACAAGACTCTCATGGTGAACTTTGAAATGTTAAAAGAAAGAAGACAAAAAAAAATAATGAATGAAACAGCTCATTTATTGAGTTTGTTTTCTATTATTTTCTCATATGGACAAGTGTGGATTACTTGCTTTCAAATGTTCCCCATAAATCTAGAATTGGTTAGGTCAATAATGATTTCAAATGTTAGGCTTACAGAACCTGTTGAGGAAAGAGTAAGCTAATATGCCAATGAGAAAACCATGAATGGCCTTCAACCATATCTATTTAAGCATAGCTGTTTGAGGATTAAAAGAGAAGGGTTAATGTTCTATTGTTCTTGCAGGTTTACAGGAAGTGGTGCAACAGTGCTGCTGCATTGAATGTTTCACCTAATTGATGCACTTCAAAATAGGTTGTTAGAGATTCAGATACCATTGGTAGTACATCTCGTTTCTGATAGGTATATATATAACAGAGTAAATTCTGGACTTTGTAACTGTAAATTGATGCAAGTTCAATAGTATTTGTTCCTTTTGAGAACTCTTGTTCTCCACTGATTTAATGTAGTTAGCTGGTTTAATGGTTCTGTTACCACATGCTAGATACTATTTGAGACAGTGTTGGACTTGGAAGACTTTTAGCTGGTTTAGTGATCCCAATCACTTTGGTTGCACTGAAGGCGCAAAGTTAAAAAGGAACAAACAAAAGAGTCAAGTAGGAATAAGACCCCTGTAAAAAGTTTAGAATGGAATCATGTAGCATTAACTGCTTTTATTTATAAACCTCTATACTGTATAAAACTTTAAGTGGTTCGTGTCCAATTGGAAGAAGATATGCTTGTGAGTGGACTGCATATCTTTGTTAAAATATCTTGCAGATTTAGTGCCTGGTTCATTTTAATTTAGTCTTTGAAGCATGATAACTTTTCTGCATTTCTTTACAGCCACCATTTTTTTGCATAAATTATCCCAAAAGTCTTGGAGTTTTGACTGGACATAGGCTTTAGGACTAAAATATGAAGACTTATGCATATTTTATCTTTAGGTATATTTGTAAACCCAATTTCTTCATCACTTGGAACAAATGAGTAGTGGCCACCTCATCCACCCATCAACTTGCCATTATAGTGCTCAGTGCTTTAGTGGCCAGTGAGTTGCAAATAGCTCCTATTTTTCCAAAAGTTAACAAGAATGAAACCATCCATTCCCAGAGGAATCTTATTTAAGAATTACAACTTGGCTTTGAAAGTGTATACAGAGCTGATTCAAAATGTCTTTTCCTGCATTGTCTGATTGGCAGATTTGCTGTTGTGCATGCGTGTCTTATGCTTCCAACTTGATAATCTTTTCTAAATTATTTCTTTATAATCAAAATGATGTAACAGGTGACGCTTTGTTCAAGGCACTTGATGATATAGTTATCAATTATCCTGCTTTGAAACTCTGTCTTGGTGTAGTTGTCGAATGGATGTCTGTTGTAACTTTAGTATATTTGACTTGAACAATCATGGGTGCTTCCATTGATTAAGCGTTATTCAATTGCAAAAAAGTGACTTGGGGTTGTAGAGACCACATTGGCTGTATGCTGAAATGATTTATTTAATGCAGTGAACTGATAATGCCATTGAGAGTATTAAACAATGAGAGAGATATCTATTCAATTGATTTATTTCCTCAACAGGCAATGTTTAATCCTGGGGATGACTTGGAAGTATTTGGAAGAATGGGTTTGTGTTGAATTGGTAAAAGGAGGTCCCCCATTAGAGTCCTGCTCAGGAATTTAATCAAAGGTGATGTCACATCAGCTAGCATTGTCTGAAAGCCAACTTAAATAATAAGTACTCAATTATTCTGATCGCTTGGACTTAATCTAGTTGTGATTTGCACTCTAATAACTTACTTGGAATGATCATTTTGATGCCATTACAAGTCAAAGAACAACAATGGACTCCCAATCCGTTTCTGTCAATGGGAATAAAGAAATACAGGGGAGTGGTGGGTGGTCACTCTCCATGGAAGAAGACATAATGTGGTGATTTCATGTGAACTTAATCGGCGGCTTATATCTAATAGATTCTCTTGTATAAAGAACATCTTCTTCATAGCTACAAAAGAGAAAAACCATAAACAAAGAAGAACTGGGTGACATTGTTGATTTTTATAGGCGCTCATGGGTCAGGTTCGATTGAGCTGACGTCTTTAAAAATCATACCAAACTCGACCCTGACCTACCCATAATCCTTACAATATATTTATACTATTAAAAAAGAGTTACATCATATAATATAATATAATTATGAACGTTAAAAAAATATTTGTACTCATTATAAAAAAAAAATGTTTGTTTCTTAATTCTAATAGTTTTGAATAATATAAATTAATATTACAAAATTTTAATTATTTATATTTCAAACCTTACACTTTAGAAACATTAGTATATATCTCTAATCTCTTTAAAAATCAATCAAAACAAATATTCATGAACGTGTCAAAATATACTAGTACCTATAAAATCAATAAATTCATTAATTATTAAATAAACAAATACGATTATCAAACTCCGCTTATAAAGTTTAAAAACCCGATATATAAAATAATAATCCCTCTATTAATATTTTAAAATTTTTAAATACATTTGAGATTTTTGTAGGAGTAAATTTCAAAATTATAATTAAACATAACAGAAAGCATTATTTATTAATATAATAATACTTTTGGGCCAAGCAGGTTCAGACCTAAAAATCTAAAAACAATTCCGGCCATAGTTGGGCTGGACCTACCAGCTTGGTTGGGCAGCCCGGCCCTTGGAACTTAATTAGAAAACCTTTGCTCTCAAAGTGGCAAAAGTACATGATGATCTTGCTTAGTCATTTTACAATTTACACAAAATTTACAAAGTATTCAATTTACAAAATTAGTAATTAAAACCTCTTCATGTAATTAAAATAGGGATTTTGAAATTTATAAAATAAAAACAATTCACTGAATTGATAATAATTACTTCAATTTCTTTATTTGTAATTAATTAATTGGATATATGCATATATTATATTTAACTCTGTTTGTCAAATTTTAAAAATGACATTATATATAAAAGATAAAATCTTAAAGATTGTTCCAAAAAAATAATTCCAAGGATTATGCATAAAAAATAATAATAACAAGATAATAGTCGATATCATTTTTTATTAATTTCTTTCCCTCTCTCTTTCTAGATCACATAAAATTAAATATATATAATAGTTATTCCTAAAGCATTAATCACATTCACACAAAAAATATTCAATTTCATGATATTGAGATTCAAATCTTTAAAACATTCACAACCGATATATAATTTTATCGAACTTTATTAAAGAAAATGACAATGTTTGATTTCAATCTCTTATATATATTCCGGTTAAATTTAAATTCTTATATTTTTCTTTCAAATTCATATATTCGACATAAAATAATAAAAGAAACTAATATTTTAAGCAAGAAATTAACTAGAAATCATGATTTGAAAAAGTTTGAGAAGAACTATAATTAGCAAGCATAGAAACAAGATTAATAATAATAATAATAATAATAATAATAATAATAATAATAGAAAGGTGAGACTCTAGGATAGTTGTGTTCACTAAAAGACCAATACCCTAACATCAACACGAGACATTAGATGATAATTAAGGAAAGTTTGAGAGATCAAAGTTAACGTTAAAATCCTACTATGTCTTAAATTTTGGTAGCAGTGAACCAGGCTCTATCTCCATATCTCCTGCCCTGATCTCTCAGCTTTCTTTGTTGCAACGTTCATGCACCCAGTGCTTCATTCCTGCAAAATCGATTGTAAACCCTAAAAAGCATCAGTTCTTTCTGCCAAGATGGAATACTTTTTAGCATTGTTTAATAGTGTAAAGACTTGATTGTAATTTATCATTACATTGTTGCGGCTCCCGGAAACTGGTGCTGCTGGGGAATTTGGAATGTACCTAGCCCACTGTTCCCAACAAGTCATGGAAATCAGAATCGAATAATGTCTTTAAATCTCGTTCGGAGAGAAAGATGAAAGATCATAGAGACTTTCAACAGCAGATATGAAACAGTTATGTCTTACATTTTTAGCTGCTGCGCTGAAGGCTTCTCGATGTGGAATCTCAGGATTTGCTGCTTTAATGCGCTGTATCTCCTCCCTTTCAATGTAATCAGGATTGCATGAATAGAACGTTTTGGATGGGAAAGATCATACAGTATTAAAGCAAAAAGAACATATTTGTAAGTTTCCCTTACTTCATGAACCGATTGTAAGCAGATGGGAGCCTGTGTTTCTTCTCAGGAGCTGCAAAAACAATTCCCCATAGATGTAAATATTTCCAAAAATAATTACTATGCTAGCTAGAAGAATGTGGAAGGGAGTATTTAAGGGTTTCTACGTTTTACAACAAACGGTGCCTTGGGGGAGGATGGCTCGCTTGATGTTGATGAGGATGGAGATGGAGACTGAACCTTCCTGAAATCACTGCAGAAACTCTGCTTCTCCTTGACATTAACAACTTCCATTACTAATCATATCAAATCTTAGTATATCTTACCAATTTTTTTTTTTCATTGTGAGATGTGGGGATGTGTAAATATGCATAATTGTGAAGCTTACAGAACCCAAAAAAATGGAGATTTGCTTCCTAATTACTAGTTTACTACCACAAATTAATAGCTGCACTCGGTCTCCACCTTTCTGATCTTTTCTTTCTCTTGGTCTAAAATGGAAACGTATGTACCTGGAGACTGAGGCTGGTTTGGGGATCGAGGCATTGACCTTGCAGTGGAGGTCTGGTGCTGAGAAAGGAGAGGTTACTGCAGTGACCGCATTTCACTGTCACAGTGTCCAGCAACCTTTTGCATGGGATCCCAACCTGTCAAAAACAAGAGAGCTAATCATTCATAAACCCCAAACCAACATATCATCATCATCATCATCATCAAGAAGAAAACTGGACTGGATTATTATTATTTTTTTCTTTCGTTCTTTCTTTGTCGCTTTTCATTGCCCTAAACTATGTACTAGTACTGAATTAAATTACCGCAAGAACAGTGTTGCAGAAGTTGCAACGGACATAGCAAAGATGCTCGGATTGTGGAACCAAGTCCATCCCAACTTTCTCTTCAAGGTTCATATTATCAAAGGAAGGGAAGGGAAGGGAAGAGATGAGAAGAGAAGAGAATTGAAGAGAGGGCAGCTAGCGAGGTAAACAAGGGTACTGTGGGTTTTGAAAAGTAACGAGAAAAGGTTAGGGTTTTTGATGTACTGATGCTAACAGGACGATGAATATAGAATGAGGTTGTGGGTTAGTTGGGTATCTGTCTCTCTGTTTAGAGAGGATATGGGGAATTGGTTGGAGCAAGAGAGTCCCAAAAATGAAAATCCTTGGGGTTTCTAATATTACTTGTCACAGAACCTGCTCTGCAATTTTCAGACATTCAGTTGCACGGGAACTGGATTCTCTCACACTCTAGAAATTAACTTCATCACCAATATCTCTCCATATAAATCGTTCCTTTAATTTGCACTCTCGTTTTTGCCCTACATCATACTCTCTTAAAGAGATATATTATCTGTTTAAAGAGTTAGTTTCGTAATGAAAATTAATGCATTGAATTTTTCATTTGTTATGAGATGTATGATTATGTTATCATATTAATAGTAAATGTCTAGATATATAAAAACCCAATTAATATTTGTATGTAGTTATAGATGTATGTCAAGACAGATACAATAACAAAATCTATCTCTGAAAAATTCTTATCGATTTGACATTTCCAACCTTCATTATTATCAATGAGCGAATGTGTAGTACTAAGCGGGTTTTGGATGCATACACAACAAAACTCAAGGAATCCACAACAATTTAGCTGAATTTGCTTGGCACAGACACCCTAGGCTAGCTGTCCTGACTTGATCCTATTCCTGGCTAGCTACAATATCGTAATTGAGGTGATCAATCATCTAGTTCTCTGAAAACTACCATGATTTTTATCGTTTTAATTTCTGAGTGATGCTTATGGAATGGAATTGAGTAAGTTTATATATTGTTTAAATCGATGGTAAGTGGTTTCTGGATTTATGTTTTACCCGCAATCTTACCACTTTTTCATGCAGATCTCAGTGAAAAAAAAACAAAAAACACGACTCAGAAAACCTTTTCCAAGACTGAGTTATCTTCCTGATGCACAAAGAAGACAAGGGATCCCGGTCCCTTGGGTGGCATGGTAATGGGAATCAACTATCATTCACATCTTCGAACCAAATATTTTTCACAGCCAAGCAGTTAGTCATTGGCCCCAAGGGGGTGGGGCCTGGTTTGGATAGCGTTTGAAAGAGTGAGAAGATAGTGAAGAGATGAGGTCCTGTCCATGCATTCCATCTTTTGTGGGTGCAATGCTAAACAAGGAAAGCTGAAAGAGACGGGTCCTACAATCACATGTCAATGTCACACAAGCACACGCACAGTGTTGATAGCAGCAGTACTGATGATATTTTGGAGTGAGAGAGAGCTGGAGGATGGGGGGGTTCCTGTCTTTTTGTGACGGGACGATTCCACAATTGCCAAACCTGGAAATAAAGCTAGTTTGACACTCGGTTTCCTCACCTTTCTTTGCTGGTATAAATCGACTTCCCCAAGGGTGCTTTTGCACTCAAGGCCCTGGCCATGGTCCGATGTAACGGTGGTTTTGCTTTTTCATTTACTTCCTTTTCCTCCTTTGGGGTCTCTCTCTCTGAATTCAATATACATATATGCATTTGTTTGCCACGAGATTCCCCCATGGTACCTCTCTCCGTGATTTCGTTACCATTAGTGCATCACTCATTTCTCACGTATAGTCCTGTTGATTAACGGATATGGACACAATGATTAGAGCTATGGAGACCCTGTTTCTTATCCATATCAGGAAACTTTGAATTGTGATTGGACAGCTCTTTTCCCTCTTTTACAGAAGCAGTACCCCTCCTTTTGACATCAAGCCCCCAGCTTTCTCCTCCCAAGGTTACGGAATTTTCATTAATCCCCTTGTTGAGTATGCTTGGTTCGGATCAAAATACTACCATAATTGGTTTGACAAATAAAAACAAATATACTGCTTGATAAATATCGTATCATGGATCCTAGTTTTATGATTGATTCAATCATGTGAAATTGTTGTACGGTAGATTATGTGGTTCTTCATCAAATTTACTACTATAGTATTATTATCTTTTTGTTCAAAACTTATCATATAATGTTAGCCAAGTTAATCGAAAAGGACCAGCATATTTCCATGCCTCATATATATCGAGTAGAACTCTAATGTAAAAATTTTAATTATTGAATAAGTGACACATTTTTAATGAAATTGATAGTTTGAAAAAAAATCATTAAGGGGGTTATTTTTATGCACACATTTCGTGAATTTAAAGTTTTTACAGATTCTGTTAGTTAAATTTGATGTAAATATTGGTCTATTTCTTGAAGACGAGTCCTTCCATAAACATAATCATGTTCATGTTTTTCAATATTAAGAATCAAAATTTTGCTCTGAGGATAGCCAAGGTGGTAGTATTGTATATTTCAATATTGTACCTATTATTCCAAACAGGATTAGAACAATTTTTTCTTCGTTCCGTTCCATAGACCTTATCCTAGTATAAAGTTGAGCCAGTTTTTACCATGCCTCAGCATTAAGTTTTAGCAGAGGCAATAAAGAGTCATAATGACATGAAGCAGCAATTGCTGGTCTTTGCCAATGAGAATATGTAGCTAGGTTTGGTTGATACTAGACTGTTAGTCTTTGGTGATATGCATGGGAGGGAGGCACTAGCAAGGAAACCATTGGCATTGCCCGTATTGTCAAGGGTTATTTGTGAAAGGGAAAAAAGCATTGTAAATAAGTTAAAATGATGTATCGAAAAGTAATGAAAAGGAAGATTGAAACAATTACTGAAATTTTGTGTTGTGGTAAGTGGAAATAAATAAATAAATAATAAAATCATGATTGAGGATAAGTAAAGAATAAACAAGCAATGGAAAAAGTTAAGAAGCATTAATTAGAAAAGTGTTCGAGAGATAAGTTAAAAAGAGAAAAGCTCTAGGTGAAAATGTTATAGCCTTGGAAAAGTGATTCCAAACGAATTATGAAGCATTATAGATACAATGCTAGAAGTAACTGTTACTTAAAAATAAATTTTAACACATATAATAAATAATATTATTAAGAAAAGTTTTAATACTGAGCAACAGTCACCTTTTAAAAAAAATGTTGAGTAATCGTTAATGAACTTTAATGTTGAGTAATGATTAAAAATTTTATTGAAATAATGGGTTTTATGACCATTAATAGTAGAAGGTAAAGAGAAATATATGTAAGAAATGCTATATGAGAACAAGTTAAAAAAATAAAAATATACATGAATATATAGGTATAAGAGAAGAAGGTGTATGTGAACAAATATAAGAAAAGAAAATAATGGTGAGACAGAAAAACACTTATACTTCAAGAAAATGTTAAAAGAAAAACTTCTTAACTATTTTCATATCTGAGTTATTAAACCAAACTTTTTATAACATTCCAATAAGAACATAACTCGTGAATATTGTACTTGTTTCGAATTACTTTCATTACTATCTTTGTAAAGTGGTTATTTTGTGCAAAATAGTTATTCTATTCATATTAATTGTTCTGCATGGATTAGTGCTATACTTATTTTGGTTGTTTGCATGAAATAGTGTTTCAATTGTTTTAGTTGTATTGTGTGAAGTAGTGTTTTACTTATTTTAATTATTTTGATTATTCTTTGTACAATATTACACTATAAAACCATTTAAAAAAGAATACGTTAGTAGCCAGAATGAACTATTTACACATGTGAGCTTATAGATAGTAATTTATAAGTGATTTTAGGCTTGTAGCTTATACCTTTCTAGAAGTAAATATTTTTGTAGACTCCCTTATCAAATTTGGTGTTGATAAAATTGAAATGTCTTATGCATGATTATAGAATGAGGTGGATTTTGATGATATTTGTTCATGTCTTTTTAAGACTGTTACAGTTAATATTTTAACCTTCATTTGTACATTTACATTTGATTACTTTGATGAAGATTATAATGATGTATCAATTTGAAAAGTAGTGGGAAGAATGAGCCTTAATTTTGATCGTTCTCCAACGAGGTCGTTGTAGTATAGTGGTGAGTATTCCCGCCTGTCACGCGGGCGACCCGGGTTCGATCCCCGGCAACGGCGAAGGTTTTCTTTTTCCTTGTCAAAAATATTTTTATTGATCGAATAAATTTTTTTTATTCCGAAGTGGAGGGAAACACAGCATTCCGTGACTTCAGTTCCCGCCATCAAAAACATCTCTCTGAATCCTTTTTACTTCGCCATTCTCTCTCTCTCTCTCTCTCTCTCTCTCTGTAATTTTGCTTTTTACTCATTTCTTTGAATGGCGAAAACTAAAGAAGAAGAAGAAGCAGCGAAATCAGACGGTCTGGAGATCATCTCCATCGGATCCCTTTACAAAGGCCCCTGGGACAAGAAGTATTGGAGCTCCTCTAGGGTTCGTTGTGTTTTCTTTTTATTATCTCTCCTTTTAATTTGATGTTGAATGATCTCGTTTACGTTGTGTTTGGCTTGGTTACATGATTTGGATATTCTATTGTTACGAGCAAAGACTGGAAGTTAAAAATGAAGAGTGAGATATAATTCGAGGATTTTTCTGATTGAAATTTGAATTATGACTAAATTAACATTTTAAACTCTAGTGATTATTCATATATTTTTGAAATTTGCTGTTTAAATGCAATTGAGTTGATATTTTCAAGCTCACAATTTATACATGCCTTATCAACTTAAGAAAACCAATTAACTCTTATTGTTGCCGATATAAGTAATATTTTTATTCCAATTGTGCTGTGAAAATGTAAACGAAATATTGGAAGTTCTAATCGCAAATCCTAGAAGGTTTTGGCAATAAGAAAAAAATTGAACTAATAGCTGAAGATTGAAGAAAAAGGATTAAAAACGTGCAACTGTAATAGGAAAGTTTAGTTTCAAAAGGCTACATAATTTAGTCTAGGAGAAGTGAATTTTGAGTAAAATAGAATAGAGGATGTACCACTTAAGCAGTTCAATGACTATTTTAATTGGAAAAGCTATATTTATTTTTTTTTTTTGAAGTTGAATTAGCTTAAAATGAATTGAACTTTGTTTACTGAAGGGATAAATAGTTAGCAAAATTTGTTTTGAACTAATATGCTTATCAGAGGATATGGGGTACCTCATTGTAATATCATTATGTTGGTATGAGCTTCTGTTTTATTTGAGTGGTTTAATCTTGTTATTCTGTAGGGTAAAGATCGATATCCTTATCCTGTGGGATATCAAGCTGTTCGGGCTCACAATGGAAGCACTTATATGACGGAAATTCATGAAGGTCCTAAAGGGCCTTTATTTGTGGTGAGTAGGCAGACTTAAGGTTTTTAGCTTGCACTCACATCTTCTTTTCCAGTGTTACTTTTCTCAGTCAGTTTACTAAAGTATAAGTGTGCCTCTATCTGTATGCAGATCTCTTGTGATGGACAATCGTGTTCTGGACAAACTCCAGACATTGCATGGGATAAATTTCAGAAAACAGGTTGCCCACATTTGAAGATATGGCATGGAAAGAGATTCTCATGCAAGATAGATGGTGTGGAGGTATACCTTGCTACTTCCTTAGCACTTTGAAGTTGCATTTTGTTTTCATCTCCATTTTTGGTTAGTGAGATTGCTGTAAAAAAATTAAATATGGATAATTGTGGCTTTGCTGATATTGCCTTTATGTTCTTCGTTTTAAACTGGATGACAATTCATCTCTAACTTTCCTTGTTTTAGAGCTCTCTTCGGTCAAATCCATGCACTATATTTGTTGATGGTCTGTACCTCCTTGGTCTCTGGAGGGAAAATTTATTTTAGAGGAAATATTTCCCAATTAAAACAAAATAATCTAGGGGCTGCTCTGGAGACTATTCAAACTTTAGCCAAAGTGATGAGAATGTGTGAGCATGTGGAATCCTTGGAGTTACTGTCTTTATCTGTCTTCTATACCTTAAAGACTAATCTCAGAGACCGTTAGATAGAGAGTAATAAACATGATCAGGCTCTGACGTCAAGGTGAAGCGGTATGATACAGAGCATATAAGGTGAACCTTTTTTTTTGGCAGATTTTGTCTGGGTGGCTCAGGTTATTGTATTCTTTGCAACCTACACCATAAAAGTGCTCTACAGATAATGATGTCAATTATATTCATGAATTTCATGTACATGTTTTAAACCTTTTGCTTGTTCTTGGCTGTTTTTTTTTACATTGTGGTCCTTCTTTGGACTCCTTGATTCTGCACTGTGTTTTACTTGCCCACTGGTCAGAAATCCATTTCCTGTATCATTATATTCTTACTTTTTCCTTAAATATGGATGGCGAAAACCATAGATGAATGCACAGAGTAAGCTCCTTTTTTCTTTGCATGTAACATGCAGTTTTTTGGATTCAAAAATCCATTAATCCAAAGGTTACTTCGGGAATTGGTGGCAAATGTCAATGGAACAGCAGAAAGGAGTTTGTTATCTTCCAGATTCTGCAATGGGGCTTCTATAATGGAACATGACAATCAGAGCTCAAGTATCTGTACTCCTCCTGATTTACGACCATACTTGGCCAAATCACAGATCAGGAAAAAGAGAAGTACAAGGTGTGAAATAATGCAAAACAAGAATGGGCCTGGCCTTAAACGACCACGATCTAACGACCTGACTTGTGATGCTGAGGCTTCAAATTTAGTACAAGGGAATCAGGTGAATCCTAAGCATGGGTTTCCTCACACTGCTTCAAAAGAAGAAAATGAAAAACTTCCAGTAGCATCAGCAGTGCACTCAAAATCAGTGGGGGAAGATGATAACTACTCTTCAGCCAAAGATGGGTTTCAATTGAAATGTGTTGATTTCTCAGATCATCATGGGGAGAAAGAAGTCAAGAGCAAGTTCGTTAGTTCCCAAAATGCAAAATCCACTAGAGTAGCTAACAGCACATCTAAAGAGGTAAGACTGGTTATTACATCTTTCTGTCAATTTAGTTCATCCCCTTTAGAAGAAAATGCTGATGCCTTTTAATTCTCATACATGTTTCTTCTGTCTTCTTGCAAAATTTAGGTGCTTATAGCTTGCATTAGTCTTACCACCTGAGAGCTATGCTTTTAGAAGCTATTTCACCAAAATTATCATCCTCTTCCTTTTTGGGGAAAATATATTTTAAATCATTGTTTTATAATCAGTTGGTACAGTATTTGCTTGTCAATTACGGGAGTGAAGTCAATTGGTACAATATTAGAAGCATTCTTAACTTCTTACAGTTGGATAGGTCAGGAGATACTGAACTGGAAGGATTCGTTTTTCCAGTAAAAACCAATGCCAAAGCTAGAGTTTCACCAGTTCCAAATGACTCCCTGGGCATCAATGATGTTGATCTTTTTGCACCTGATACTTTGGATTTTGTGGAAGGTATTTCTTCTTTGCAGTACTTACAGTACATTGTTACCCAGCTTCCTTTTCAATTGTTGATAGTTTATCATTGTGAACTCCCAATATTTAGTAGTTGACCACAATATCAATGCAGATGATTGTACAAATCTTGCTTCAAGTGCAAGGGATACAACTAGCAGTGTGAAAGAAGAGTTAACTTCTGCTAATGTAGTCTTTTCTGATGGCTTGGTGATTGAGTCTCATCAAGAAGATGAAGTAGGAACATCTAATTCAAATACAGGTTCTGAAAAAAGTGATTCTGATTCAGTCGGTCAGGAAATGGCTAAGTTGATGATGACGGTTTTACTTCCTCAAGCTATTCCTTTGCTTAAGGAGTCTTCAAAGAAGAAAAGGGAAATTGTTAACCCATGCAAACTGTTGCCCCAAATGGTGAATTCTCGAGTGAACAACATTGAAACTAACCATTTGTTGAATCTTCGATCTTCTGGTACAGGCAATCTTGAAACATTTGACTTTTTCTATGAACATGTTATTCTTTGGCATGTAGTATCGAACACCTTTAGTTCCAATCCTTTGTAGCTTCATGCTAATCTTTTTCTTGCCTCTCGATCATAAGTTTTTTCTGCTAAACTTGCAGCCATCATCCTAACTGAGGAAGCACGTGCAGAACAGGACAAGGGAATGCATACCCAAAGTATAGACCATGGTTCACTTGTGCCAAATCTTGAACATGTGAACTCTGTTATTCTTGACAGTTTTGAGGATGATCAGGCAGGGGATCATGTAGCTAAACAAGCTGTATCGTTTTCCAAAAGTGTGGAGGTTGATCAAACTAGTTTCAATAAAGACACATATCATTCCAATATTCAGGAACAGTTTGTTAGTATCAATGTGAAGCAGGAAACATCAGATTGTTGCGATGAGATCTCTGAAAACCAAGATACAATCTGCCATAAGGAAGTAAACATGGCTTCAAATAAAAAGCCTCATGGGAGTGACATAACGATGTCTGAGTCTACTTCAGGCCATGTGTCTCTAATCATGAAAGCTTTCTCTGAAGATATCCAGGGTGTTTGTGTAAATTTGGATGAAAACTCAGCAGATATTGAAAACCATTCTATGGAAAAGAAGTCCAAGAATGCACTTAATTGTACTAAAGGTAATGACATTCAACCAGCCTTTCCTGAAAATTCAGCTGTCAAGTTTTCTTGTAAGTCCTCACAGGGCAAGCAAGTATTTCCTGAATTGATTGACAAGATATCAGTCTGGCTCAGAATGAAAGGTCTTAGTTTCCTACTAGCCTGCTCTCAACCTATAATTATTTTAAATTTACCTTCATAGTTAGAAACTACGTCACTCAGAACAGAGCTTATATTCTCCAAAGTTGTGAAAATATAGCTGTAGGAGCTGTAAATCATGCAATTTACTATATCTGATTGTCAGTTTACAAAATTTAAATATCTCGAACTCATGATAATTTTATTCTTTCTGTCTCAGTTAATCATGATTTTTATGATTTTCAACATGATGCAAATAATCATGTTTCTGCAGATGTAGATACAAATGATAATAATCCAAGTGGCATTGGAAGTCCTGTGCAATTATCAGGGAAGGACATAAGTGCCGACACCAGAACTCCTAAAACTAACTCTTCCTATCAAGCCCAACATAAAGTATATACTAGAAAGAAAGTCTCAAAACAAGCTTATTCAACTAGAAAATACACTGGTCCTCTCTCTGAAAGTATCATATACAGAAATACTGGAGATGATTATTGCCCTAATGAGTCTGCTACGACAGGAATTTCACTTGTTTCAAAGAGTTATCACTCTTCTGATGACAAACCATGCAATAGAGATATCTGTGATGCTACAGACAAGCTTGAAGGACAGTCGTATGGACTGCCAGTGGAGAAAACTACTACAGATTGCAAACCTGAAATGAGTGATATGCCACCTGAGCTGTCTAATCGAAATCAAAAGTTGGTTTGTGCCTCTAAAGCAAAGGGTGCATCATGCTTACTTGTTCCATCTGTTTCACTTGAAAGGGGATTTCAAGAAAACTGTCACAAGGAGAGGCTTGAGCATAGCAGCAGTGTAGAAAATGGCTGTCCTGCATCTTGTCAAAATCAGGTTACTAGTGTTTTTGACAAGAACAGATCTAAAGCAAGGGAAGTTCAAGGTAGTTCAGATGTCAACCATTGCAGGGATGTAGAGCTTAATAGTGATCTAAGGGGCATTGTCAACCTTGTAGGAGGCTATTTCCATCCTTTGCCTATTTCATCAGTATTGCTGGGTGCAAAAGGAAATGAAATCCACATTTGTGTTTTATGTGGTCTTCTTGTAGATAAGGACAGAACCTTGTTCATCTACAGGGTATCTATTGAAGAACCAAGGATAGGATGCCCTTCTTTTGTTGGTTACACATCAGTAACATTGCCATTTTCAGAAGTAAGCTTTGGTGGGCGGATATGTTGTAATATATAAACTCTTCAGCCATTTTTATTGTACTTATTGATTCCTTGACTTTGTTGCTTACCCGTTCAGTGATAAAATTTGTGACGTTTTTCTGTGCTTTCCTAGATTGATTCAGAAAGATGTGGCTTACAATTCACCCCGGATGGGCAATGTCTTGTTTTACTTGACAGTATTAAAACGCCTTATTGCAGGTTGATTGTTTCTTCGATTTTCTATCTTGTTAAAGCAGATTTGAAAAAACAGTAATATTATTCTAATATCTGATTTCTTTTCTTAGGGAAGGGAGAATAGATTGTACCTGCTCAATATGTTCTTCAGGCTGCTCTAATGAGAATGCAGTAAAAATTCTGCAAGTAAATCATGGTTATGTTTCTTTGGTTGTGAAATTGGAAACAGCTGAAAGTGTGCAATGTATATTGGTTTGTGAAAATAACTATCTTGTTGCTGCTGGAAAGAGTGGGAGACTGCATCTTTGGGTCATGAATTCAACATGGAGGTGAATGTCTTCCCTTTCTCTCTATCTAATATAACAACCTCTTCATTATCATAGCGGATGGTATGATCTTTGTTTTGTTCTGCAAAATGCTTAGTTTGTGGTTTTAAGCAGCAGATTCATATTGTAGCAGTGAATTCAGCTGTTGAAAGGGGATGTTTGCTTTATATAATTTGAAGATAACTGTACTTTCACCCTTTTCCTTCTACCCTCTCGAAACATGTTTTCTTGGCTAATTGTTGTTATTGAAGCGTGCAATTTTACCTGTCTTCCTTGTCCATTTTTTGCAGTGCATGGACAGAAGAATTTATTCTACCAGCTGGTGACTGCATATCTTCTTGTGTAGTGGAATTGAAGAGAATTCCAAAGTGTGCTCATCTGGTGATTGGGCATAATGTTATTGGGGAATTTGTTGTATGGTATGTAGCGTTCTGTTGAAAATTGTATTCTTTTATAGTTATTTGGTGATCCTGAGTGTATATTGTCTGTAATTGCTGGGTAACATTGTGGAAATATTAATTTATTAATAGGTACTGCTTTTTTATATCCTTTCGTGCATCATTTTGTGCATAAGGCTCCAGAGGGATTTTCTTGTATTTGCCTCTCCACCTAAAATCTGATTAGTTACTGATAGAAAACAGGTTTTATTTCTCAGGGATATTTTGAAAAGGCTCATCATCTCAAGATTTTCTGCTTCTGGCAATCCAATTAAGCAATTCTTACCAATCAGTTTATTCAGTTGGCAGCCTGTTTTCAGCTATGCTGATATGAATGGACGCATTGATGAAATCATCACGACAACAAAAATTTTGTCTTCTGAACATAGGGACTGTTATTTTCTTCCATCAGAGGGGGAAGATATTGCTCTCTGGCTTCTTCTCTCAACTGTCTCTGATTTTGAGGCTCAGTACGAACGTTTACCTAGTACTTGCCTAGCAAATCAAGCCAGATCATGGAGGCTAGCTTTACTGGTCAAGGATAGGGTGATCTTGGGGAGTACACTGGATCCAAGGTACTCTAAAGTTCTATTTCTATGTCTTAAATCTAGATTGGGTTTTTGTACTCATAATGAAAGAGACATACTGTTCATAGAAATCGAATCATTCTATTGTTTTTTTTTAAGGCAGTGAGTAACTTGTTTTCTGGTAAAAGATAATATTTTTCTTTGATGCATGCCAATCCATATTTGGATCTATGAAAATTTTAATTTTATTTTCTCCAATTTATGTTTTCCTCCTCTGTTTGTAGTAACCAAAAGAATTTGGGAACTGCTCATCCTAAATGGTAGAATATACTTTGATCTCCTTAGGCTATCCTGTTTCCCTAAATCATCTTATTACTCGTTGTGGAGGTATATGCAACCAAGTGAAGATAGATTGTGAAACAAAACAGTATACTATTTGGTGTGCCTTTTCAAGGAAACCTAATTTACTGGATTACGTTCCAAGGTGATCATTTATGTGGGAGTGCATTGGGTACTTGCAGCTGTTTTATGTGGTGCTTGGGTTTCTATAAAGAAAGGAAGAAATAGATTGCTACTGTATCAATTTTATTTAAGCTGGCTAAGTATACACTAGAGAAAAGAAGTTTCTGAGAATTAGCAAGTAAATATGTAAAAAACAATTGATGAACTTCATTGTGCAGGGCTGCTGCAATTGGTGCATCATTTGATCACGGGATCATAGGAAGAGATGATGGGCTAGTGTATATGTGGGAATTGTCCACAGGAGCTAGACTTGGTGTCTTGCATCATTTCAAAGGTATGCCTCAAATTTGCTTTCATAACTCCTCAACCGAGAACTAGTGGAATTTGTTTCTGTTATTGTGAATTGAAAGAAAGGGAACACTCATCTGACAAACAGCATCTTTCCTCCTTGGACATTTTAGAGCTATGGTTTAAACAGCAGAATTTTTACTTAAAAAACTCTATCTGATAAAATTCTATTTAGAGAAAGTAGAAATAGATTGTCTCGCAAAATTCACTTGATTGTCCAAATACAGGAAACACATCCTCTCTTCTCGTCTTGCTTAGATTAGATGTTGAAGCCACTTTTTGAGTTCATCCATCTGCCGTTTCAGAAAATTCTAATACTTTTAACAGTATTTGTTGTCGTAGTGATAACAATGCACATGCATCTAATTGCATCAATGCCCTTCTTTTTAAATATTAGCTATTAAAATAAAAACTCCTTGATGGGCTCACTTAGTAGTTTGTGGTTTTTGGAAAGTGTGGTTCCTTGATAAGGTATTAAAGCTTTTTTGATCTAGTAGTTCCAACTTTCGAGTTTGAATCTTGGTTTTTACTATTCCTCCTTTTTATGGGCCAATGGTTGTACAGCTGAAGGAGACAGCCTCTCCATGTTCATAAACTCCTCATCCCTAGTGAAGGCTAGATTCCATCTTAGGTTCTTGATATAATTACGAAAGGGACTCTTAGCAGCCAAGCTAGTTGACACCTTTGGCTGTCTTTTCTTTATTCTGTTAAATTAGATTTAAACGAGGTATGTAATATGCCTGTACTTGATCTACATGACCAAGGCAAGGGATTTGCGTCCAAAAGAGCAATGTTAGAGATCAACATTAAACTCATTCTTGAACCTTCACCATACAGCCTAAGCTATTAGTTGCTTGGTCCTTTGACATGCAAGTTTTGATTATAATGAACATAGGAGAACCTCTGGTTCGGTTGTGATGAATTTCAATGGACTATAAGCTTTCATACTTAAGCTTTGCTTCAATGTTATGCGTACATAGCTGATTTTCGACTGTGATGTGGTGATCAGGTCGCAGTGTTTCATGCATTGCAACTGATGATTTGAGGCCAGATGTTGTAGCTGTAGCTGCTGATGATGGCCAGCTGCTGATTTATCTACACAGCCAAGAGAATTTTGCAAATAAGTAAGACACTAATAGCAAATAAGCTATTTGGTCTCTTTCATGGCTTCCTCTTAGTGCTTCAATCTGTAACTGTGTAGTTAATACTCATTACAACTGACTCGTTCTGCTGGGTCACATACACATTTTGTATGTGGATTTAGCAATATAACAAATGTTTGTTTCAGCTGGAATGAATTATACCCATGTTGAAAATGCCTAGATCTGGTTTTTACTGTTTTTCGTTTTGCTAAACCATATGCTCGAGTTGTTGCATCACTATGATTAAATTGCCGGAAGTTTAGACCCACATGGCGATGTGGAGGCTGATGTGTTTTTTTGGCAATTTTAGGTGCTGATTGGGATTACTCTTTGCCATTATCTATTTGGCATTGATCGTGCTGGAACCAGTGAATGTCAACATAGGGCTATGCTAATCCAGACACATAAAACAAATGTGAGGTGAAAGATAAAGATAGCTGTGTTCTTTTTTAAATCATGTTCAAATAAAATAGATCTAATTTAATTCTTAAAAATATAAATTAGTACTAGCTACCAAAAAATAAAAATCATATGCGTATGTATATACATACATTATTAAAATAAATTTTTACTTATCAACCAATTAAAACTTCTTAGAAGCTTATTAAGTGGTTAATTGGTTGACATTTATTCATCAATTAGACCTTTAAGCATTATTTTTTTTAAAAAAAATGATATTATAACCTTATTGTTATTAAATACATATAAAATAAAAGTGTGACATAAATATATATGTAAATTAAATAAACTAGATATATGATTAAATAATAGATTTAAATTATTATATTATCATGTAATTGGGAAAATCGTATATGAATTTTTTTTAATAAAACATATATCGATTAACTATTGCGATAATAAACCCAGAAATATAAATTTTCGGGTTGTCGGGCATGTAATTTTTTTATTGCAAAGAAGAATTACTGCAGTGTTTTGAAGTGTAGTCCTTGTTGCTTTTTCCATTCCTTGACTGTTTCTTTGGCATGCTTTTGTTCATTCCCTGTGTCAAATCTTGATTCATTAGGCTTTAAATTAAAGGATCTGAAAAAGTTGAGCTGCATCTGAGCAGTAGACCGAAATGATTCAGAGAAAAAGAAAGGGAATGGAGAAAACAAGATCCGAAACATTCTTGGGTGTGTGGCTATGGACTTCAACCTGCTACAGAAAGTTACAGCCCGGACATGACAGGACGAAATATAATTAAAGTAGATCACAGGGACCAGCCATTGATGAAACCAGTGGGCCTCTAACGTTCTCTCTTGGCCTTATTCATTCAATGCAGGGCAATGGTGTCCCACTCCCGCTCTTCACGAGCACAAAAAGTGTTGGAAATCTTCTATCTTTTTGTTAACTTTTGCCCAAATGATAATTGAATTTCAGAATGTTTTCAGGTTCAAATTTCAAATCCCACTCCAGAAGGTAATCATCTCAGACCAAATACACCTTTGAATGATCACAAAATAATGACAGACAGATTTTCAGATTCAAATTCTATGCCTTATTGTATTAAACTTGGAGGTAAGACGAGATGCATTAATCCAAAAAAAAGGAACTGCCATAAAACAACCCCAAATGTGAAAAATACCAAATGATAGTAATGATGATAATCCAAGTTTGTGACTGTATCTAAAGACAAGAAGCCACTAATTCAAAAACTTTCTACTTAAGAGGTGCCATTGGGTGTCTTTGCTGCAGGTTTTCCTCCAGGAGAGTTGACCTCATCCCAAGCTTCAATCCATGTAACCATGGCATCGGCTAGCTTAATGAAGTAGGGATCCACTTCGCCCAGCTTCGTCTTGACCTGATCGGCAAGCGCAAGGTAACATTTCTGTACAGTGGTGCAATCCTTAGGGAGGACAACAGACTGGAAGAATGGGATTGCTTTTTCTTGCCAAAAGATGCCATTGTACTCCTTTTTGAGGTTAACAAAAGGGTTGCTGGCTTTGCTGTGCCATATGTAGGGTAGACCAGTCTTGACTCCCAGTCCCAAATGGTCACATATAACCTGCACATTCAGAGACACGCATGATTAAATGCAAAAAAATCAGAGGTTAGTAATGAATTTCATAGTAGCATTTTGTATTGGCACGTGTTCTAACTCTGTCATATTGTCACGTATAGACAAAATGTCTGCCAAAAATACCTAACTTGGTTTCAGCATATAAAGATCCATAGCTTACAGTTATCATGAAACGAAGATAATGCTTGGACACAAAGGATTGGATGAGAAACAGTTCACTGAAACAGAATGATAGGGGAGATCACATGATGGAAACAAAGATTCAGAAAAAACAGTACCTTCATGCACCAGCCAGCCCACATATCATCATAACGTCCAATTGGCTGTCCATCACCCATGAGTCCAAAGTACATTGCAGGTCCGATGAGTTCGCGGTCAAATGCCAGATTCATACCGCACATTGGGAACAGAGTTCCCTTAGGAACTGTCATGACTGCATCAACATACCTTGATAAACAGAAACAAGTAGTAAACAACTATTACCCAAACCAAGGTCAAATGACCATTTACTCGGTTACATTCCCCAAGGTGAGATGCATATACCTAGTATTTCTCTCAAGAGGCTTGACAAGCTGGGTTGGTGCATCATAGTCAGGGATGTTGAGCCACAAGCCATGCGAAACCGCGGTAGGGGCACCCCCTCGGAGACTGAAGGGGTAACCACGGACAAAGTCTGCACCTTCCCTGTATGGATCATAGAGTGTGTTGAAGAAATGTGGGGTGGATGGTGTTAGGAGGTTCTTAATGTGCTGCTCGAGCGCATTGATATCTTTCCCAGACGGATCTTTGGCAACCTAAACATCAAAACCAGAAGATGTTAAAAATTGAAATTGTTGAAGTTTTCATAGGAAGAAACAATCTAAGAGAACCTAAAGGAATGAAAGGTTCTACAAAATAAGCTAAATAATATAAAAAGAGCAAAATCAAAGAATAATTCAAATCATCATCTATCTGATTAGATCTATTATGTACAATTACATTACTCAAACTTTAGGCACAATAATAACATTAATCAACAGATTGCAAATCTAATATGCTAACATAAACAACCAAATCAACAGTTAATTGTCAGCACTAATATCATTATCTAACAGCAAATGCAAGCAATGGCAGAGGAAAACAACCTACAATCTAACAAATTACTCTGAATTCAGCCACATTCACCAATAAATTCATATGCTATGAAGACTTAAACTTATCTTTCTCTTGTCCAGTGATAAACAAGACCAAGACATAAAAATAAAACAAAATAAAAGCCAACGTTATTCCTTACCTTCCCCTGCTTTTTCCCATAAACCAAACAGAGAACAGAGTAAAAAGAAAATACTACATCATTTTAAAAAGAATTAAAAACCCAAAAAGGAGAAAGCTTTAAGAAAAGGGTAGTAGAGCAACATACAAAGCAATCATCATCAATGGTGAAGATGTATTTTTTCTTGGAAACAAGGTAACCGAAGCATCTACAAGCAGAGTCCTTGAAGGAAATGCAAGAAGCCTTTGGACCCAAAATCCTATTGATATCGTTCCTGTTATAGAGCTCATAGTCAAAGCCATCGGGAACCCTGATGGTCTTTGAAGGGTCACCGTCTTGGACAATGATCAGATGGTATTTCTCGAAAAAGGGTCTCCACATCTCCAAGAAGTCAAGGTTTCTAATGGTGGGTATGACAATGTCGAGTTCATCTTTTAACAAGGGTGTGGGTTTGGCTGAAGAAGTTGCCATGGAAGATAGATAGAGAGACAGAGACACAGACGGTGGGGGAAACGGAGTCAAAAGAAGAAGAAGAGCCAAGGAGTTCAACTTGAACGACTAAGGCGGAGATATGTCTCTCTACATATAAAGAAGATATTTTTTATTTTTATTTTTATTTTTATTTTCTTTTTAAATTTTTTATTAGTCAAGAAATGACACTATTGGATACATCCTTCACGTTTTGATTACTGTGAATTAGGGTTCTTTTAACCTCTTAAGCATTATCTCTAATATGATTTGGTGGGGTGGTCTAATGTTTTCAGTCAAAAAAGGAAGTCTATTATTTTTTCTTTTGGTAGTACAGCTAAGAAAATTAGAATTCAGTTTCTTTTAACAAGGAAAGTTTTTTATTGCTATAATTATTTGGTAACTATACAACCATTCTTCAATATAGATTCATTAAAATCTAATGGTTGTTACCTTATTTAATAAGTGAAATTCAATCCCGAAAAAAAAAAGGTCTCAATGATTAAAATTTCGCAACATAAAAATCTCGATAATGAATTTTAAAGATGGCAAGACATTGTTTACTAGAAAGGAAAGTATTACTTCTTATTATGCAATTCAAAGACTTAAAAGTGAGTATTATATCTTACTTTTTTTTGTTCTGAGTTTATCAATTTTTATTTTAAAATGTTTTGTGTATAAATATAGATATATATCAATCAAGATTAATTGTAGGGTTTTTTTTAATATTTTAAAATACAAAAAGATTCCAAAAAAATCAATTAAAATATGAGAGTTTCTTTATGAATAATAAAGATAGAATATAGTCTAATTGTCTTTAATAATTTTGCATAATTAATACACAATTTTCTAGACAGTTTCCACTTGGTTTTGATTTATTAGGCAATGGTTGGCCCTGTCTCTTCCTCTATGGACTAATGGATTCAATATTTTCAACAGGAGATGCATGTGTCTAGTTGCCAAAATTAATACACAATATTTTCAATATTTTCTTACACTTCCAAGTACACTGCTTAAAATTGTTATTAGTTTCTTCTAATCCTTTTATTCTCTAATCAAAATCACCTCCCCCCCCCCCTTTATTTAGAGTTATATTTTCACCCAAATAATTGGTTGGATAAAAGTAGAAAACATGTGGTTAGGGTGAGTTTGCATCAAGAAAAATCAAAATGTGTTCATCTAAATCACAATATTAAACAGTAATACGAAACAAAATTTAGATTATAATTAGAGTATTTGATTCAATAATCCGTAGTCCAACCATTGGATTGAAAAATAGAAAGTAATAACTAGGAGGCTTGACATGGTACAAGGAAGAAAGAAAGAAGATAAAAGAGTTACGGAATATTCGGACAGATTAATGAATAATTAACATCGCTCCCAACATGAACCTGATAATCCGAACATGACAGGTTTTGGTAGTTTTATTTTGTCAGAGTGGAATATGGAAAAAAAAAAGGTTAAAAATTAATTAAAAAATGGAGCAAAAGAGATTCTAACCTTGATAGGAACGTGGCTTGACAGCCACAGGAAGGTCATGGGTTACATGTATTTTTCACGTTCTCAGCCTGTTAACTGTTAAAATGATACATTAACAATGTGACATTGTTGAAGCCTCCCCTAAACGTTTTTGCAAAGCACATGTCACAGACTACCTGCCCCTGGCTTTTCTATTGTTTTCACATGAAAAGTATCTAACCAAAAATGGGTTAATCCTCCCAACACAAAAAAATCTAACTTTGTGGCTGAAGAGGGCTTCTTCCAGGCCCAGGTTCAAGTAGCAGCTGCTTTCCTTTTCAGCTTCCCAGGTAATTTCAGCCCAGCTCAGCTTCACATCGCATTGTCCCAGGTGATGCTGAGTCTTCCCACAGTTGTCAGTCTTGGCAGTAATATATACATGCTATTATCTTCATTTCTTTAGAGGTAATGTTTGTTAGAAACTGTTCTGTACTTTGATACCCTAATGTGCAGTCCCTTGGGTGCCTCAACTCTTGGGAATTGGCGGATTTCATTTGTACCAACTTCCTCCCACCTGCACGGAAAAAACCATTTCTATCTAGTCAGTACATTTGTTGTGGGCCAAGCAGGGGAGGGAAACTCTTAATGAGCAACTGTACCCAACCTGTAACTGGTAACAAAATAGTGAAGGAAAGTAGAAATTTGGAAAATGCCCAATTCCTTTCCAGGACATAGCCTGCTGCCTCCTCCAAATAGGAAGCAGTAATTGTGAGACTCCAAGTTCTTATCCTGCAGTTCCATTTTGTTAATATTTTCATGTACTTGCAGGCTTAAAAGCTGTAAAATGAACTATGGGATACTTTCAAGTTTGTAGTTGCACTCACCAGCCATCTCCATGGATTGAAGGATAAAGGCTCTGGATAAAGGAATGGATCATAATTAATTTCCCTTGTGTAAACGTATATTCTCCACCCTTTGGGAATGGTAAATCCTGACAAAGCACAATGCAAAGTGTTAGATACTCGCACCACATTTTGAATCTTGTACCTTATCCCGCAACACCAGAAAGATTCTGGCTGTGTGGCAAAAACCTGAAACTTCACAAAGGAAAAGTGGCCACTTTAAAGCTCAGAGTTCCCTTGAACATACCGTTTACTTCCATATCTTCTGTTGTCTTCCTCAATACCCCATTAACAATTGTAGCTAACCTTGAGGTTTCAAAAATTACCTACATAGAAAAGAGATTGATTAAAGCTTTAGTAAACAATAGATTAGCTGTAGAACATATCAGAAGCTGGTGGCAAGATTCAGATATTGCTCACAGCACGAGTAAAACTCATAGACTTGTAATCATTCCAGTCGATTGCCTCCCCTGGCTTTTTCTTTTCTCGGATACTGACATGCTCTTCCTATGCAAGTAGAAGGGTACCAGGATCATCAAAACCATAATAAAGAAACACAGAGAATTCAAACAGGCGGAACTGTCACTCACTCTTAGTTCTTGAAGGGCTTTAGGATGATCATGGAGATACTTGATGGCCATCATTGAAGTAGTCGAGACAGTTTCATAACCCGAGTACATGATAGTAATTATTTGATCAATTATCTCCTCGTCGCAGAGATTGTACTTTGAGTCTTTGCAATCTAGAAGGCGGTGAAGCATGTCATCGTAGACTGTTGGAAAGGCCCTTCTCTCCTCCATAATCTGTTTCAACATCTTGATGATTCTTCTCCTTCCCTGATAGAGTCACCATTGAACACTGGGATCGAACTCCTCTATAAAAGATCATATAGAAATGTTTTCAGGCCATTATTTAGTATTTCAACGGTATACCTGGATCCCATGATGGTAATTTGCCCCTGGAATGTTTATAGGCAGTGATAGCGTTCCTACTAATAACTTATCAAACTCTGGTTTGAAAATCTCATATAATGAAGTTGATTCCTTTTCAAGAATTTGCTTGAAGGATAGGGACAACGCCATCTGACAGAGTAATTCCAAAAAGAAAGAAAGAGTTAAGCATACTGTTTGATATCTGGGCAAACTTTTTTTTCTTAAAATCTTAATCTTATAGCAGTGTCTTGTGAACATTTCTGATCTTTATTAACCATTTTTGGTTTTACTTAGGCGTTTACCCATAATCGTAGTCGATGTCAAACCTCATGAGAGTTTTCATCTTCTTTTCACTCATAAACTGTACTTTCCCTATGGTTGAAACAGTCTAACTATAAGGAAAATGCAATGATGACAGATTTAAGACTCATGAACCCAAAGCCATTGTATGCTTAACAACTAATAGAAAGAAACAGTTTTTACTCTGTGCTTCTGCTTCATTTACATCTAAAACTTCTTTCTCTTCTATTTCCTGTTAAAAGTTGTGCTTATTATGTGCAAACCTCATTGGTTCTTTCTTGGATGTCGATAGTACTTTCTTCATTCCAGTTCTCAAGGAAAGATCTCATAAGCTTGTCAATTTTTGGGAGAAGCTCGTCTTTGATCACGAGAGGGCCAATGAGAGACAGCAATGACCCTCTTATGCGCTTGTGAGCAGAACCATGCACGGCTGCAATGTTGCATTTCCCTAGTATATCAAGCATGGATTGAGGGTAGCCAGGCACAAGCCCTTTTCCTTCATTCATAAGGATGTATCTGTTGAGCTCAGGATCCATGGAAACAACAGTTGGACACCCCAATATGTGAGTCTTGAATAAACTTCCATGCCTGTCAAAACAAATGTGAGAGATTTGAAAGGAGGAAGCATGGTTTTCTTCTTCTTCTTCTTTTTTTTTTTTTAAATTTGGCTTTACAATTTGAAGACATATAACTAGAAGTTCCATTAGAACTGTGTTCTTGTCAAAGATTTAACTCTTTTTGTCTCATGCAGCTTTATAGAGGAATGATTTTTAGTGGCTAGAGTCTCATTGTTAATTCATTCCAAACACATCCAAGGGACATTGGTCTTTGCCTCTGATATGCAATCACCGTTATATGATTGTTTCCATGCAAAGATACCGTATGGAACAAAATGGAAAGATCCATAAACCAATGCATGCTCATTGTTGTTATCTAATGACTTTCTGAAACAAGAAAGGGAAGCTTCCCAGTTCACAAAAGGGCTGACTGAAGCTAAACTATTCCGCCTTTCTCATGCTATCTTTTAGTTGAAACGATCAAAAAACAGAACTTGCTACACTTAAAACAAAAAGAGGAAGCAGAAAAGTCTCATTTACAAGTCAACCAACTTGAGAGAAAGAGGGAGACAGTGTGCGGGGTGAGCAGAAAAAAGCTTACCTTGCTCTTTGCTTTTTCATGAAATTTGGTCCATGTTTGAGGAACTCTGTAGTTTCACCAAAAACTGGCCAACCCATAGTCCCTGGAGGCAAGCCTTTTCTTCTACTATATGTTATGTCATTCCATTTCAACATAGCAAAGCAGGTACAGAACCCCAAAGCAAGCCAACAAGCTACTACTACCACCAAGAATGCCATTGATGCTCCCAGGAAAACCTCAAGAGGAGTGCTGCAAAATGGTATGGCTTGTTCAGGCTTTTAAGAATGTAAAAGGTATGTGCCTTGACAACTACAACAGAGTTGAGGCAAGAGAGAGAGACAAAAGGGCAATTCCTAAATAGGCCAAAACCATACACCTACCTAATAAGGCCCTACTATTATGAATAGCTGAGTGTAGTAATAAATGTAATAATAAAGACTACAAAACTTTAATCTTAACAGAGAACCACTGCGGTCTTAATTGCAGTATCTTTTGCCTCAAAAATATGGTCAAAAAGGTAACTTGTTAATACATTTGAAATGTATTAGAGAGTTGCAATGCCCCATGGACTAAACTTAGTCACAGAGTCAATACATCTGAGGACATCATACAAGATTGCTATGACAGCATTGCAATCAACGAAATCATGTTTTTGTGCATGAATTCTGATTAATTCTAATTCAAAATTCTCTAATGTGGAGTTACTAATGGAGATTTTATGCCAACTATTTGGCAGGGTTCCACTCAATCACTTGGAACACAATTTAACCTGAGGATGTCATGACTTGACTCCAAATATAAAAAATGGCCCCAATTTAAGTTGTTGGGGGTTTGAGTTCAAGGCTAAATGACAGGAAATCATATTGGAGTTCAAAGTTTTGAATGCTATGTTGACTAGTGCATACCAAACGATTTATCTGTTACATGACATATAACAGCGGGCAAAGACCCTTGGTACCTTTGGAAAAATACCGTGAGAGAGCCAAAGATAGTTTTGTTTTGCCTTTTCAACTCTGCTTCTGCAAAAAGTTTGAAGTGCTATGGTCCTTGCAGCATTGTTGTAATGTGCCTAAAGGAATATCATGAACTGGCAAAAGAGAGTTCATAGAAATGGGTGCCAAGAAACTATTTGGGAAATACCTTTGGCAAATCAGTAACTGTACTATTGACTTTTGGACTATGCTCTTGATAAATATCTTACCAAAGTAGTTTTTTAAATCAACTGATAAATTACCTGTCAGTGTTTTAATACCCCATGAAACTCTTAAACCTTCATTAAATTCCTTGAAGGATAAACAAAATGATATGTATGTTTACCTCTACTTGATCTCCGCAACCCCAGCAACCAAATTCAATAAGCCTTCAAGCTCAACGTACAAATTCCAGTATATGTTGCACGGTTAAGAAAAACAAGTAAATTTAGCAGGTACCACAAGCCAGTTAAAGAGTCAATGACTTTTTTTCAAACCATTGATGACATTCAAGCATTAGAAACTTATTTTCACGTATCAAATCATAACTTGTACACAGAAACAATGTCAAACATGAGGAAAGCGAAAAAGATAGCTAGTGCTTTACAAAGTTTGTTTTGGGTTAGGAGAAAAGAAAAGAAAGGTTTTCTAGATCCTTAGGACTAGCAAATGGCCAATTTAGACCCTCCCACAAAGTTTGAACCAAAGGGAAGAGCGAGGGGCATCCAATGCAACAATAGCACCTATTTTTTTTCTGTGCCAATGAAATTCCGAGAAGAGAGCACCCCAAAGTTTTTCCATTGTTGAATGATGTGGGATGGTTCATGATTGATGCTCAATTTGACTTGGTTCACAACAAGCCGTAAAGAGTGGGTGGATGAGTTTTACATGCAGGGCCAAACTGCAAGGCCGTGTGTGTAAATGTCAGCCAGTTCCCACGTGCAATTGTTTTTATTCTCTTCTTTGATGTGATTTATCATTTGCCTTTGCCCCTCTGCCCTTCCTCCCATTCTGCTACTATAACTGATTGCTCCGGTTTCTCCTTCCCCATCCATGTTAACTTTCCCTTCCTTCACAACCCTTTCTTTTTCATAGTTTATCTTGGACCAAACCAAGAAATTCTTTAGCTTGGTTTCTTCAAATGTGGAAAGAACATGTTCTTTTGGTATCAAACACATATTGTCAACCCCTAGTATAGTACGTAGGAGATTTATAGCATTTTCCTTCATCCACCCTGCATTAATCCAAGTATGTTGAGAAAGAAAGCTGAAAAGCCTTGTAATCTGGATCTGGAAGTTTTCTTAACGTGGCTTTGGTGGAGCTATCTCTATAAAAACGATACAGGTTAAGCTTTGTAAAGAAATTATCATAGACAAAACCATGAAAATGGTGGGGTGGGGGTGGGGGGGAATCTCTTGCTTTACAGTCAACAATAACCCATGGTGTAATATAAGAAAAATGAAGCATGTTTCCTGTCCAAGTCATATAGATAGAGGTAATTTACCTAGTTCCTTAGTCCCTTTTTTTAATGCTAGATCCTAATAGACTTCTTAAATTTATACTCTTGAGATTGCTAGCATGTGATTGATACTTCCTAATAGCACCTCACATGCTTCATTTAAGACACAAAGAATGAATAGACTACCCATAGTAGTTTTCAGAGTTTGGTTGAACATTAAGTCCTAGAATCACAAGACTCAAGCTCTGACTGAGTTTTTAAATATACAGTCTTTTCTTTTCCTTCGTTTTCTTTGGTGCTAAAGATCATTTTCTTCTTGCAAGGTCTGCCATGTTTTGAAACCCCCACCAATCCTTTAGTCAAAGTATTATATCCCATTGGACTGATCTGCTAAGCTGTGCTACCCAGAGTCAAAATTCGACTCAGTTAACATATTTCTTTATTTCTTTCTCCTCAAGTTGAACTTTCGGTCAAACTCTTGGGCCCTTGAGCCAAATTGCCAAAATCAGTAGGACATTGCTATTCTAGGAGTCTAGCTTATTCAGTGATACACTAGCACAAGCCAAAGAAATTAGATAATTTCAAATCCTCATCTGATTAGCTGCAAAACCAAGTTCTGAAGCTTTTGAATGGTTGTCTAAACAAGTGACCATTCCTCCTTGTCAGGGTTGAATTTTAATGAATAATGCAACTTATGAATTGGGCACATAAAGTATAAACATTATTTGTGGTGCTCATCAATAAATTTAAACCTCTGCATCATCTACCAATGCAACAACTTTTCCACAGTTCACACCACAATTTCCAGTTTCTGATAAGTTGTTACAAAATGCATATTCCATCCACATTTAAGGAGAGCATGCTGCTGATGATGATCCGGGCTGCATGCCAAAAATGTGAAAACAATTAAAAAGTGCTTTTTTTCTCTTACGATGATATATGCACAATCAGACCATAAATTGCAGTAAATGAGAGGTACAGGCCTATAGCTATCTGTTAGCCCCAAATTAAGATCTGAAGCAATTGCTGGTAACTATAGTTAAGGAGGGTGGCAATTGGTAATTGGTTTGGGTTTGGGCTGCAGCATTTCATGCGGCACTTGTTTACATGATTTGCCCAAGGTAGGACTAACGTTTGGACTTAAAAACTCATAAACCGGTTGCTTCTTGAGCTTTAAAGCCTACATAAAGCAGGGCAGTAACAAAAATAGGAGTCTTACTAATGTGAAGAATGAGTTATGATCTTGTTCCAACAAAAATGGATTTGGGGCACAAAATTAGATCTCTTTTCAGCTAAAGCTGACTTAATAGTGGAGCAGACAACTTTTATGTTCAGCACATGCTATGCTAGCTTTAACTTATTTGCTGCACTCGGCAGATAATGCTTCCTCATACCAGTTTCCTGATATGTTGCTCAGACTTGGGGTACAATTGTCAGGTGAAACAGGTGTGTCCATAGCCTCATACTTATATCCATTTTGAGGCATCTGCTATGTGTCCAATAAGGAAAATGAAAAGCTGAAAACAACATGGGTCACCTGTTTACTATGTGTGTACGCTACCCTAAGAAATGGCCTCTGTACTTCAATGCTAGTTCAATACACGTGACTTCTGAAAAATTAGAAGAAAAAAGTGTAATACTGATCTTACCACGCATGAATGGACATCATCACAGCCACACAACAGCTTCCCATTCAATTTATCAACAGCTTGAAACACTCCTCCTCCGTCACTTCTCTGCAACAATAATCCCAAGCAAACATTTCTTTGAATTGAGATGAATATCCCTGATGCAAAACCATGGAACTGCTTATCTAAGAGCAAGATACCTAGGGTAAAATACGTACCTTATAATAGTTAACTGCGACAAAGTTAGCCCACCGACTGCCTGCTGCCCCATAGCATGAATCCAGCATACTAACAACGACTGCTGAATTGTCTTCACAAGTCATCCCTTTGATTGGAATTGAGTGGAAGTGATTTACCAAAACCAGAGATTTAGTTTTGTCATTAAGTGATGCTGACTCTCCCCGGTTACCACATTCTCCTGTACGCTCCCCATCATCCCCATCTGAAATCAATGTTAAAATCTTATTTAGACACAAATTCTCTAATAAGTTAACTGATGAACTGAGGCAGTGGTATTACATTGATTCTCAACCATGTAGTTCCACTGATATGCTATTCCTTCACTTTCTTGCTTAGACTTCTTTGAAGTGAAGACAACCAGCCTTTGGTTGTTTGCAACCATATCCTTCACTAATGGCCAATCTTGACCATTTTGAGGCATGCTTGAGACTGGAAACCAATACTTCATTAAACCCGAATCTTTGAAAACTTTTGATAACCCATTTGGGGTGTCAACATAGTCTTCTAGGAGCAGTGTCACAATTTCTAATGGATTTGCGGATAAAAAGGCCTCTACTTCCTTGAATGTGTCAATGGCAAGCCCCTATAAAGAAACGTATACTTGTTACTACCCTATTTTCCATTCTCCAAACAATTTCTGTTTCTCCTCCAAGACGATGCAAATTGGAAATGTAAATGGTGTTTTCTGCTTAAAACAATGAGATCTGAATTACTTACAAATGCAGTATAATCATGGCACTTCCCTTCAAACGAATGGCACAGCCATATGTCTCCTTTAAAATCATATGTGTCCAGCATCAATGCTCGAACTCCATTCTGTAAAATGTAACAGTTTGTAAAAGAAATCAATCAGCGAGAGATGAATTCTGGAATACAGGAACAGGATTACTCCCCCCAAAAGAAAGGGTGCTTACATTTAACTGCTGCGTTACAGTGTCTTCCTGATTGGTAAAGGTAATTCGGATTCCAGTATGAAGCGGCTCTGCTTCGTTGGCAAAGGAATTGTGAGTCGTCAGAAACGCATATTTGTTGAATGGTAAAGAATCGTTCTGCCAGAAACATGACATCACAGTAAAAACAACAAACAAATTCATGATCTTGCCTGTTAACAATAATGGCCATCAAGAACAGCGATGGCCAACAAGAACTGAATTATGTAATTCAAGGAACATAAAGAGACAAAGATATAAACTTTACCACAAGCTTGAATTGGTTTGTAGTTGCTGATCGGATACATCTAGAGCCATCAAATGCTTCAGAACAGGAAAAACAAGACAGCCCCGGTTGGCAGTCTCCATCAGATGAACATTCCTCCAGGAGCTACAAAAAAAAACATCATTAAGATCAAAGACGACTTAAAAGACTACAAAAACCAAACCAAAGGACAGCTACAACTAAACAATTGCGGATAACTTAGTAACCTTGCATTGCCCATTAGAGCAAGCAGAAGTAATAGTATTAGTAACAGCAAAACAGAGAAAAACTGAAACTAGGAGCATAGGCACGTTTCTTGGGAGACCCATTGTCCAGAAAAACTGAAAAAGAAAAAGGGTATAATCGGGGTATTGGAAGAGGAATATAAATTGATGGTGGGTTCTGGAACTATGACCCAAAATCTACGGAGGTATTGCCACTAAAAATGGAGGCAAAGGAAAGGAAGGAAACGCCTTGTCATGGTAAATTCAGGGGAAAACATGCAGTGTAACTGGCACTGAATCTAGTCCTAAATGACACAATTGGAAAGTGTGCTGTCACATTTCTGTCGTTCATAATTTCATACTCAAAACAGATTGGAACAGAATCCACTTGGCTTCCTCCCTGCCCACTTCACCATTTTTGTTAAGACCTAAAGCAAATCCCATTAGTCTTTATATAAGAATTAGAGTGGGATTAAAATGTCTTAAACTAGACTTAGGACATCAAATATATTATTAATATATTTATATAAAAATATATTATAAATAATCTTTCGAAGTTATGGACTAAATTATCCTTCTTAATCAAAAAATTGGCACAAATTAAACGAATTCAATTAATTTCAATCAATTATTTCGATATAAATTGATTAATATTCATTAAATAAGTAATGTAAAAAAAATTCAATTAATATTTTTTTCTATTTCAAAATAATTATTTAATATTATAAAGTGCTCTAAATAATAGTAACTATTAGTAATTATTGCCACGTAGCATTAAGTCATTGACCTCGAACTGCCACGCAGACTACGTTGAATATAACTGGACCAGGTCGCCAAGGCCCAACCTCGGTCCACGATTAATTAACTACCCTGTCTTCCAAATGGCCTTGCCAGTCTACCTCACGCGGCCATTTCTGTAGGGTTGACGGTGGTTCCTTGCTCTGGCTGCTCTCTCTATTCAACGAAGGAGACTGCCCGCCACGCTTCAAT